CACTAGACCACCGCGGCGGGGCTACGTTGTGCGGAACTACGGCGGTTGCACTTGCAGTTCTTAGGCCCAAACAACAAAACGTTCCTTTCCTTTGACCGCGTCCTCTCCTTACGTGAGGCTTCCTTACAACCAAGTACCGACGGAGGAAGCAAGCGTACTCTGAAAGCTCCGCCAAGTCGTGTTTGTCAGTCACACTCGTCGCGAAGTTCAGAAAAAGTGGGCGGAGAAACTTCACGAGCACAACCTCCAAAGTTTTTTATGATGTCCCGGGGTCGAGCACTTGAGTTTGTCACGTTTCTGTAGTATTTGCGCGGCGTTGTCAACGGCAGCCTTCAGTGGCTGATTCATCTTTCTCGCTCTTGCGAGGAAAACTTCCGCGTAATTCTTTAGAGAATTTAGAACCATTACGAGCTCAGTTGACGGATACAGGAGTACACCTGGGTGGATATCTCCACATTCAATCAGAACATGCTCCGCCGTTTCCTTATCTTTCCCGCAGCATGTGCATTGTTCTTCTTCTTTACTGAATCTTGCTTTATAACTACGCGTTCTAAGGCAACCCGATCTCGCTTCAAACAGTAAAGCGCTTCCCCTTGAATTATCGTAAAATGCCTCCCTCCTTATTTCATTTTTGCCCTTTCGGTAGTTACTCAAAGCCGGTTTTTTCTCCATGAAAGCTACCTTAACCCGTCCTCGCGGGAGGAATGGTTGCCGCGCTTCCTGCTTTTCCAGATTATCGAACTCTAGCTTTGCTCAGAAGCGTTTATTCTGTAAAAAAAAGTTTGGGTCCACCACATCACTTCCAAATTGAAGGTGTAATCTAGAGGACGCGTGTTACGCTTTCTTCCAACTACGATTACTGAATGTGAAAGCCACCGTAGTCGAGCGCAAACCGTGGTGCATTCTAGCAACCACTTGCGCGCCGTCGTGCCTGGCACCGTGCCACGCGCGCTCGCCGCTCGTGTCTCCCCGCAGAGGTGGGGTGGAGGGTTGCCCTCGAAAACGAAAAACTCACGTGGGCTAGCTGTGAGGCGAAGCGCTCGTTCAGGGCAAGGAGCGGACCTAAGGGCGCACGAAGGTAGCCCCAAAGCAACCTTAAGCTGAGGAAGCGCCAAGGAAGCCTTTCCCCGAGGGCTTCTCAGTGAGGAAGCTTTCAGAGTGACATAAGGCGGCCTCACAAAAATGAAGGCTTCCTCACTGAGGAAAGGAACGTTTCGTTGTTTGGCCCTTAATGCATCTGATGACATTACGCTGGGTAATGGCACTTTTTATCGTACAAGGACAGACTGAGTGAGTGAGTGAGTGACAATTTTTATTCACCGAAAGGGTGAGGCAGGAGGGAGGGTTTCATTCCCAGACGTTTTCCTCACATATACACACAACGGACGACGTCACAAAAAATCTAAAGCAAGGAAAAAATATTCCTGTGGGCTTGTGCTTGATAAAAGTGATCTGTTTTTGTGAAGTTCATATCTTTTGAAGAAAAACTATTTGATGTTGCGCTGATACAGTATGCGCCAGTGTCAGCATATAAGATCCGGTTATAACACGTTCCATTTATTATCAACCTGTGACAAGGTTGTGTGTGTGTGTGTGTGTGTGTGTGTGTGTGTGTGTGTGTGTGTGTGTGTGTGTGTGTGTGTGTGTGTGTGTGTGTGTGTGTGTGTGCGTGTGTGTGTGTGTGTGTGTGTGTGTGTGTGTGTGTGTTTGAAAAGCCGCATATACATTACACTGCGATAAATATTTTGCTGGATCGGTTAGATGCATGATTAGTCGACAATTACTTCGGTCTACACATCTCCCACCGCATGTTCAGAGAGTGTTGCAAACTAGTTCTTTACTGCAATCCGCAAGCATTCAAACGTGGTTGTTTCTACAGTTGTTACTCTCGCTTCCTTTCTTGCAGACGTTAACCATTCGACACATTCCAATAGGTTTATGCGGAGCCAATAAAGCAAGTCGATGTTCTGAGCACTTGCAATATTTTTTTAGATTGTGTAAAACCGTGTGGATATATAGAAGAACTATTGATCTTGCTTCGCCGATAGCCGATTTGTCTCTTTTATTTTTTTGCCGCTAATTGTCTTTAACAAAGGCTTTTAAGACACTGACGCAATCACATAATATGGGGATTCAGTGTCACCCATGTTAGAAGGTTTGTGGTTTGCAACAAGGAAGTAGTTTCTAGTGTTCCTTTTGACATGCACTCAGGGATACGTCGTACAGACGGGAAGATGTTTAACCACAAGACTAAGAGGGGATCAAAATAATTTTTCAACTAATCACGCGTCCGGCCAATGCAGCAACACTTGTATGACAGTGCCAACGTACGCTGATTTTCGGAAACCCTACAATCTTGTCACAGTTTCATGATAAACGGGAACGAGCCATTACCGAATCCTATACGATGACCCAGGCCCATGCCAACGAATGTGTCAGCGCACCATCCATTATACTTTCTTAAAAAGAAATTCACTTCATTTCATTCATTTAATTTATTGATTATTTCACAAAGTAGAGAACGTGAGAAGAAAAAGCTCGACAGAGTTTGACTAGGCTTCCCAGCCTGTTACAGACCAGTGTTACGCAGTCGTAGTGCACACATTTTCAGCAATAAAATATACAGAAAAAAAAACAAAACGAAAAACTTCATTGTATGCAGAGAGCCATCACCATTTGAAACAAAATAAGAACTCGGAATGCTTCATGAAGGCCACTCCACATTTGAAAGTCCAGATATACGCTTCATTAGCAAAGCGCTACAAGCTCAGACCTACAACACACATCGATGTCAACATGATTTCGGGCTAAAACATTTAAAACACAGGGTAAAGTAGTTCTTAACGTTTGGGCACCGTGATTCGTGCGTGAGGACTTGACCTCCAGTTTTTCCAATAGCCTCAAAGGGTACATAGAAACTCATTTGGCTAGTTCTGTTGTTTTGTTAGTCACTAATATATGTTGGTTTATTTCATGTTTACATAGGAGAACTAGGCGTAATTTATACAAACTAGATACTTTTCGAATAGCAGCAGTTTGAAAGAGCTGCGCAGAAGGATAATATTTGGGTGAAGCACAAATGAGGCGTAAAGCTTTCTTTTGTAAAATATTAACTTTTTCTAGATTTCGGAACGTGGTGCCCCAAACAAGGTGGGAATAATTAACCTGTGACATAAAGGGATATATGAAAAGCAACCGCTTGTTTCGGTAGGAAGGACATGATTATTAGGCGGAAATGTTGTTGGCCCGTGTGCTCAGATTTGGGTGCACGTTAAAGAACCCCAGGTGGTTGAAATTTCCGGAGCCCTCCACTACGGCTTCTCTCATAATCATATGGTGGTTTTGGGACGTTAAACCCCACACATCAATCAAAATAAGAGACCAATAAAGCATGAGGCAGCTAAGGATACGTGATGGCATTAAACCGAACACCAAGGGATATGAAAGTTGGCAAAATTTGTGTTTTAGGATTCATAGCAAAAAGATTGAGAGCATGGTACAGTTTTGCCTACGGGACGAAAAGTCACCGCCTTTGTCTTAGTCGCAATACTTTGAAAAGCATTTAAGTTTGACCATCACTCGAGAAAGTGAACTATTTCGTTAGCATTCTTCAGTAATTAGTTTGCATTTTCACTGCTAAAGGAAACAGTCATGTCATCGGCGTATATAACAAAACATGCCTTGAAGTGAATGTAGAAAATACCATTATATAAATTAAACAGAAATAACTCTAGGGTACTTCCCTGTGGCACACTTGACATAAGGCACAGTGTTTGTGAGGTGAACTGATATACTGGCGCCTATGAATCAAATAACATTTGATCAGTTGAAGGGTATGCTCTTTCACCCAATAATTTTGAAACTTGGTGAGAATTCCTTCACGGTTAAGGCTGTCGAAAGTTTTCTTTAAGTCAACAAAAGGGCGAATATTAGCTGTTTTTCCTCGAAGTTTTTGAAAATAAATTCTTCTTGCCGTTCTTTTTTCTGTTTTTCATTTCTGAAACCATGCTGGAATGGCGTTATCGAATTATATCGTTTTATGATACGAGAAAGGCGAGTTAAAATGATTTTCCCCAAGCGATCAAAAAAATCTGGACGAGGAGATATTGGTCTATAATTAGCAACACTTTTTTATCCGCATTTTTTTAAATGTAGGAATGACCTCCAAAATTCGCATTTGAACTAGAAATGTCACTGTAGTAGGGCACCAGTTAAAAATATGGACCATAAGAGGAACTTGACTTTTTTCATGCGCATACCCATGAGAATATTTTTATCTAGCCTCAGGCTTGAGATGCTTTCCTCTGTGCATATATGCGAGAAAGACGCCTGGAAATAAAATAGATGTTAGTCTGCGCTCTGTGGTGCATTCAGTCCGTCCCTGTACGAATAAAAGCGCGATTACCCGAGATGCAACACCAACTAGCTCACATTGGGATCCTGAAGGATTCCACCCCCGTTTTATAGGGGTGGGATCACGGGCCGCTCCCACGTAGAAATGGGGAGGCCCAGCCTCACCGCCGCATCCTGGGCCTTCTGGAAAGCCTCGAGTTGTTGTACGAGAACCGGACTCGCCAGCATTAAATTAAAGGAGTTTTCAGAAAATTCTTCATTTATTTCTCTTTGTAAAGAGGGGAACTTATGGAGCGTTCAATCATAACTCGATCAAACTGTCAAAATGTGTTGCCTACATTGAGGAATCATTGGAATGAATTTGACCTGTCCGGCCATTTCCCAGGTGGGTTAAGTTTTTTTCATTCCGAGGAATTAAAATGAATGGAAAGGTGACACGTTCTAATTGCCCGAAATGGAATCGGAATAGAATGAAAGCGCCCATTCTGCAATACCGCTGTCTTTCCATAACAAAGATTTGTCTTTGAATGTCAAATTGAACTGCGAATACGTTCCTGCGGAGCAGCTACTTTTTTTTTTTACTCACCTGTGTGTTCGAACGACAGATGTGGTTTGATATGGCAGATGGATTGATTGTTCGGACTTACTAATCTGTTACGCAGGACAGACGAGGAAACTGCCCATCAGACGAACGACGCAGAAGAGACGACGACTCCTCCAGCTGAAGAACGAGGCGAGAGTGACTCTGAGAAGAAAAGCAAAGTCCACAGAAAGCGAAAACCTACTTAGACGTCCAAGCGACCGGCAAAGCAGCGAGCGTCTACATCAGCTTAACGCATGCAGGAGACACCATACCCGCGTTCTCGAAGATGTTCCGCGTGCATAAAAGCAACAGCAGCAGCGTTTCGAGCTTCTCTAAATTTATCATTTATCACGCACCGAGCCACTAAAAAGAAAAAAATAGAAAGGAAAAAGAAAACATCAAACGTCAAAATCATGACGTTATGTCACGTCAAGTCGCATCGAATCGTAATCAAGTTGAGCGGCTCAGCTATGAATGAAACCGTACAAGTTTATAAATTTTACTTATGAGGAATCCAAGTTTACAGAGCGCCGCGAACGTTAAGTGCTATACTGGCAGTGCTCAATCATGGTTCTGGGCCTAAGAGTTCGTAAAAAAACACTATCGCCGTTTCCTCGTAAAGTGTGCCCAAAGGAGTATTCAGGACCACTAAGCAAGTTGCTTCTTTATAAAGCGCCCTCGCAGGTTACATGCACATTAAATAATTATTGTCGAGGTTTCACGTCCAAATACCACGATGTGATTATAAGAGACGCCGCAGTAGAGGGTTTCGAAAATTTATACCACCTGGGGTCCTTTGACGTGTACCTAAGTCTATTGGCACACATGCCCTTGGTTCTATTTAAATGCGGTCACCACGGCCGGAATTCGAACCCCCGACCTCTGGGTCAGAACTCAAGCACCTAACGACAAGATCACCGCTGAGCATTCACGAACTGAATGAAACACGCCACATGCTTCCGAAACGAAGCCCACATGTTACGACCACTATACGTTGCACGACCTTGCCATCAGCCAGATTGCGGCGTAGACGGAAGGCCACATAAGCACCAAAAGTGTGTCCCCGAGGACACAATTTCGGTGACATACAATAGAACACCTTTCATGAGCATGCACCGATTTGGCTTTTCTCCCGTTCCACCACACGTGCACGGGAGCCAGCCGTGAGTTCATCCGGCTGTTCTCCTATGGGTGCCGTGCAGTCGTCGAAGGTTCGCTCCATCAGCTGCTTATCAGCTATTGGCAATCGATCAATTGCGAAGGAAGCGAGACTCGGGCGGAAGCTCCCGCATTGTGCCAAGATGCACCGAGCAACAATAACCACTAAACAAGACCAAAAAATTACCCACGCACTTCGACGTCACGAGGCCTGGCAAGGCGTGGCATGGAGTAGTCAGCCAGGGTAGAGGGGAAACCAAAAGAAGCGAACCCTTAGTCTAATCCACTAAGGGACCACTAGTGTTGCATAATTATGCGTACACACATTCGGCTAGGTGCAGATAAAACGTAGCATGCAGAACATTAAGCATTCGTCACAGAGGCACCTTGTGTACATGAGTAGACAAAAAATCCTTTTAAACGAAGCAAGAGAGTTGGGGATGTGAAGATCTCGATGTGGTGGACTCCCTGACATCAAGACCAGGGTCGAATGCACGAAGCTTCTCGTTCGTAAGTCGACTTTTCCAGTTAGTTCTTTGAAAGAATTATATGGCTACCATTACGACGGCCTGAAATGTCTTCTTTGAGCATGATGAGAGTAAAAGGTTTTTCTGAATACGAGTCCAGGTGCACGAACAGTTCTAAGACTCTAGAAAAATAATGATAGGCAAAGCGTAATGATTTTTGCAATCTCGGACGAGCCTCTGATCCTCTGCCGTTCCTCTAGGACGTGGCCTGCTCCTGTGCTGGTTCTGGTTGGTTTGCCAAGTACTGGGTAGTTGGATTACGTGACTAGCAACTGTGGGTGTTCTTCTCAATTTATGAAGTGTCATTTTTTTTATTCTCTCTACTTGAGGCCACGCAGATGTCCAGGAATTCTTCTAGTCAGGACCGTCCAACGTAGACGGCCTGTCTGCAAAACGATGACGTACCTATTTCTTGACCTATTTCTTCGCAGTGGCGTGAGCAGCATTCCCGTCACTCTGGTGCACTTGGGTAAGCACTTCACTAAGTTGAATAAACTCAAAGCAATTCAAGAACAGTTCCATGCAGACACTCCAAGTTAACAGAGTATTAACGAAGTGGGGCAGGAAGGCTGCCATGGAATCGCATGCCGCTCGCCTGAACAGGCATGTGTAAATATTTTCTAAAATGTTCTTTTGCATCATTACTGGAAAGTGCCTACATACCACTGCATCTGGCCTGTACTAAAAGCGTCGTGAGAGGTGTAGATGCACATCTAAGCCCCTTTTTATGTGGTTCTTAAAGGGAAAAGAAGAGAAAAGTGAACCCCGTAACTGTCTGCATGAGAGTGCGACACCTCAACAGTAGCTTACAAGGGATGGGAATAAGCAGGGATTAAAAGGATAGGATGAAAAGGCATATATATAGAGGGGAAAGAGATAGCGAGGCGCAGGGACAGCAAGCGACGGAAGTAAAGAGGAGATAGGAAAGATGGAAATAGTTGCAGGAGTTCGAGGACGGGGCACTACTCGGCGAGAGCTCATGTCGTCGGCAGGAGATGGCGTAGGGGGAGCCCAGACGGCCAGAGCTCTGCTGTCGTCGAAGATCGCGGGGGCACACCCAGTCGGCACGAAATACAGCGAGCGAGTGTCAGGCCAGCTGAAACTCGTGAGAAGCTTTCTGTGGCAGGCGTGGTGGCTGTCTACACTCACAGAATTTGAGGGAGTGCTTCAGGAGCAGAGGAATTGTGTCACTTTCCCCAGAGTTCTTTAACTTTGTGGGGGAGTAGGGCAGAGTTGGCCGCGGAACTTTCCCTTTCCTTGAAGGCAGAGTACAAGAGTCTGCGAACGCTCTGCTACTCAGGCGGAGTTCATAATCAATGCAACTCTCGTGCCGATGAGACGTGAATGGGGTCTGGCGGACCGTCCCTGCTGACGGAGTACAAGCTAACGCTTCCATATGTTCGCACCGACGCAGCAAAGCAATATAACTATCTCGTAACGATATGCTCGCGTTTTGCTAGCGCAGCACTGCAACATCACTATACGCCCAGCGTGCGCGCGCGTCAACGTTAAGTCGGAGTATATTGGGTCCTTCATGACGCGCTAGCCGCTGTTTCGCTAGCTTGACATATACCAAATTTGGTATTACGGGACGTGAATCGACGACGAAGGTATGTGACTGGTGCAAACATGATAATCATGAGTTGCTCATGATTCACTCGAAGCCGTTTCGCTAGGTTCACACATACCAAATCTGGTGTTACGTGTCGTCAGTGGATGACGAAAGTAAATGACACGTCCAAACATGATAATCATGATATGCGTGTCATGCAAAGCATGACATGCCAAGCTCATAGCGTGCTCGCGGTCGTTTCACTAGTTCTACATATACCAAACTTGGTATTACGTGACGTGAATGGACGATGAATGTAAATGACAGGTCCGCTCAAACATGAATATCATGATATGAAGGTCATGTAAAACATGACTACATGCTACGCTCATAGCGCACTGGTTACCGTTTTGCTATAGCTCAAGATATACCAAATTTGGTTTTACGTGACGTGAATAGACGACCAAGGCAAATGACACATCCAAACACGATAATCATGGCGTGCGTGTCATGTAAAACTTGTCTACATGCTACGCTCATGACACGCTCGCTGCCGTTTCGCTAGCTCCCCATATATCAAATTTGGTATCAGGTGACATGAATAGATGACGAAGGTAAATAAAACGTCCAAACATGATAACGAATACATGGAAGTCATATACGGCATAATTTATCTCCGCCCCGTGACGTTGTGCTGATTTTAAAATGACACATCCACCTTCCACATTCGCTCTTCGCATATCATCGATTCCCAATATACGTGGAATGTGCCATCTGTTTTATTTACTAAGTTCCACAGCTCAGAGTTACTACCTATGTTTATACTCGGTTATTGGTAGTATTTTAAATTTGGTTACATTACTATTTCTTTTCATTTTAACTAGACGACATTTAATCAGATAATTACGAATTTCTTCTGAAAACTTCCTGGTTCTGGGCCAATCCCCCAGCGGTGTGGTGTGCGACTGTCAAACGTTGTACTCAATTCTACTTTTTAGAATAAGGGTAGCTCCACAACTTTCTACGACGCCACTGTGATGGGTGGTGCGCGTTCAAAGTGCGCGCCTTCGAAAAGTGCGCGAAATTAAAGGATGACCGAGTGCACGTGCTGGGTCGCCTGAACAACGACGACGCCGAGGACCGGTACACGTGAGAGCGTGGAGCGCAAGCATCCAAGACCATAAAGAAAACAAGGGCCAATGGCTGATCACCACGGAGTTTTGAAAGGCCAATCAGAACGAGACAAGTGGGCCAGAGCTGAAGCAGGAGCCTGGGGAGAGCAGAGCAAGGGGAATTCGAGGCAGGCAGTGCAAGCGGAAGGTCGTCACCGGACCGGGCGCTGAAGATGGGCCGTTGGGTTCCGGACCCGAGCCTACAGGACTTCCACCGGCCGGGGCCTCCTGCTGTCGGGTTCCCGCTCCAAAGGACCGTGGCCATCCGGTCCTGAACTCCTTTCCAGAGCCTGCGGACTTTGGTTCCGGCAGGCGAGCTACAGCCGTCGGGCTCCGGGCCCGAGCTGTGCGCCCAGCTGCTTGACTAGGTCGACCCTAGTTCCCGGACGCGTCGCCACCAGCCTGCGTTCTCCCGTCTCCGACGTGTCCACGCTCCTCAAGCCGAAACCATCACGATTTGGTAGGGCTTTTCGACGTGTCGCCAGCAGCCAGCGTTCCCTCGTCCTCGTCCAGCCCACGCAGTGACGCAGGAGTCACGGCGTTCCGGTTTCTCATCACCGCCGAAAACCAACTTGTGGGTGAGACTGCACCGATACTCTTGCGCTACTCCCATCACTCAGCCCCTTTCGAACGTTAGGTTTAGTTACTGACTTTGAACGTTTTTGTTGGGTGTTTACAGATGTGTTTCGTCATGTCCAGTCAACTGTTTATTAAGTGTTTTGTTTTGTGAGGAATCTTTGCCTTTTTTTCTTT